CAAAGGCGGTGCCGCTGCGGCTGCTCTGGAACGTGTAACCCCTGCGAGGAAGAGGATGGTGGGGACGGGGGACGCTGTCCCCGGGCCTGGGGGGGACGCGTGGGCGCAGCGCTCACGAGAAGAGGTGCACGGTGTCGCTGTGCTCTGCCAGCCCCTCCCGCCGGTACTTGACAAACTCGTTCAGGGTCTCCAGGGGGTCCTGTCCCACCCGGATGCGGTCCTCGGCCGCCCACGTCTCCATGGCCACCAGCACGATGCGGGTGTTGAGCTGCTCCTTGTAGATCTGTGGGGACAAAGGGACAGGGCTGGGGACGTGAAACCTCCCAGGGATAAACCCCTGTGGACAACTGCAGGAGCTGGGCACACACATCCCTCACCAGGGACAATTCCCCAGGGACAAACCCAGCAGGTTCCAAAGGAAAAACAAGCATGGGACAAATTCCCTGGTGCCAAACTCTCAAGGGACCAACCCAGCAGGTGCTGAGGACCAAACCCCAGGATAAACCAGCAGGAACTAAGGATAAAGTCCTGGGAACAAATGCACCAGCTGCTGGGAACTGTCCCCTCAAGGACAACCCCTCCAGGGACAAACCCACCCTGTGCCGAAGGAAAAACAAGCATGGGACAAACTCCCTTGGGCCAAACTCTCAAGGGACCAACCCAGCCGGTGCTGAGGACCAAATCCCAGGATAACCAGCAGGAATTAGGGACAAAATCCCTGGGAACAGCTGTTGGGAGCAGTCCCCTCATGGATAACCCCTCCAGGGACAAACCCAGCAGATGCCAAAGGAAAAAGAAGAGTGGGACAAATTCCCTGGGCCCAAACACTCAAGGGACCAACCCAGCAGGTGCTGAGGACCAAACTCCAGGATAAACCAGCAGGAACTAAGGATAAAGTCCTGGGAACAAATGCATCAGCTGCTGGGAACTGTCCCCTCATGGATAACCCCCCTGGGACAAACCCACCAGGTGCCAAAGGAAGAATAGTCATGGGACAAATTCCCTGGGGCCAAACTCTCAAGGGACCAACCCAGCAGGTGCTGAGAACCAAACCCCGGGGTAAACCAGCAGGAATTAGGGACAAAATCCCTGGGAACAGATCCACCAGCTGCTGGGAACAGTCCCCTCAAGGATAACCCCCCTGGGACAGAGGGATAAACCCAGGAATTGCCCACTGGGGATAAATCCCATGGGAATGAAGGGTAATGAAGCCCCAAGGGACAAACCCTTCAGATGCCAGGGATTACCCTCCCAGGGACAACCCCCCCAAGGACAAATTCCTCCCCTCACCATGTCAGCCAGGTTGACCACGGACTTGGCGAAGTTGCTGGTGAGAACTACGGACTTGCGGAGCTGCAGGAACTGCGGGCACAGCAGGGCCGGGTGGGATTGGGGAGGGGAGGGCCAGACCGACCCCT